TAGTGGTCAGAGCCCCCCTCGCGGAGTAGCCGGCGGCTGTTGTGCGGCCGGCGCGCCTGGCCTGGCTGTTCTGTTCCGCGCGGCGCCTGATGGAACTGGACAGCAGCAGCAGCAGCGCCTCTCATGCTGTCCGCTCACACTCTCGCTGCGCCCCGCTATGCGGTGCGCGCGCGCTCTCGCAAGCGCGTGTTTGGTCAACCGTAAGGGAGGCATCGTCGGATCGGCCCGCGCCACGCCCTGCCCCGCCCTGCCCCGCCACGCCCCGTGCGGCCCTGCTGCTCGCATAGCAGCCGCTCTTTGATGCGCTACCCCCCCCCCCTTTCCACATACATACACACACGCACACACACACACACACACACACACACAGGTGCCACATCCTGCTGCCGTTTGCCCTGAGTCAAAGCCAAACGCTTATCTAATCGCGAATGCAGCCCACTCGGACGACACGTCGTATTTGCGCGCCCAACGACTGCACTGCAATCATCCTCTTTCCTGCCCCTGCCCCCCCCCCACACACACACACACACCATTTCGCGCTCTTCCTTACGTGCCATGCCACGCCGTGTCTCCCGTACTTTCCTGCGCGGAACGCAACGGGGGTTTCCCGCACTTTTGTACCGTTGGGTGCATGAACTTTGTCGTGCACGTTTGTATTAACAAACTTTTAAGAAGCTGCTAAGCCTACGGGGAATCAACGTCAACCGGCTTTATCAAAATCAAACATCAATCGGCAATCTTTATCAATACTGGAACGTCGACCCTTATCAAAACGGGAGAGTTTTACCTTCGGGTAGAGACAGCCACAAGGAACCGTCTACTACAAAGTACGACTGTTTTCTTTACGCCGATAACTCTGCGCATCCCCTCCTGGTCCAGCTGGGCGGCTGGCGGTGTGCCAGCTCGGCGCTGTGGGCTGCTGGAGCTGGAGCCACGTCTGGAGTCGGCAGGCGGCGGCGCGTCGCGTCCCGGCCATTTCGCACCACGCTGCCAATGGCATGGCGCTCCCTCTGCCCTGTGCGCCGCCTGGCGATGCCGTCCCGCCCGCCAGCCGCGCGCGCCGGCTGCCTACCTCCCAGGCTGGCGGCCAGACAGACGGAGCCAGTAAATCCTTCTCCCCTCGGCGCTGCGCTCGCCCGCCTCGCTCGCCCGTTGGCGCGGCACGGCACGGAAGTTCCATACTAGTTGTTCTGCTCTGCTCGCCCCCTCTCCTTCTTCGCCACTTTCTTCCTCAGTTTCTTTACTTTTCGATTGCCTTGTCGTCCTCAATAGTTTTGTTTGGCCGGCGCTCCGACACGCCAGGCGGGCGGTGTGGCGGGTGCTGCAGGCGGCGTCCCGGCCCGCGCGGGAGAGTGAGTTGCAGACAAGTTTTTGGTCTGGTCGTGTCTTGCTTGTTGCCAGTCGCGCTCCCCTGGGGCCCCTGCTGGGGCGAGGCTCTTCCCCGGCGGGCTCTCCTTTCTCCCGCGTGTATCTCTCAGGGGGGAGACGGGCGCGGGAGAGACAGGGAGTGGCAGTGGCTCAGCCTTTGCGAGGGAGGCTCTCCGAGGAGAGGAGAGGGAGGCTCAAGCGGAAACGCTACACGAAAATCGCGTTACCTCCGTATCAGGGCAGCAGGGAGGAGGCCTGAGCCGCACCGGCGCCCAAACCGGCAGCGCCACACCGCCGAATTGCGGTGCTTTGAAGGAAAAGCAAAGCCGATCGGATTGCGATTTTAAGGCAGACTCTATACATTCACTCTGCAAATGCAAGAGTAAGGACAGTCCTACTTCTTGCAATAGCCCTACACAGTAGGGAGAAGGACTCGTCGTTTTCAGAGTAAGTGAATTCTGTTATCGTATCGTCATCACGTATTGATTTTCTTTCGTCTTTTTCACATTTATTATTATTATTTTTAACCGAGAGGCTGAAGCATAGGAGATTCGCTCTACTAATTTCCACTGGCGGGGAGAGGGGAGGGAAGTGCAGGCCGTGAGTGTTGGGGACGGTGCGCGAAAGATGGATGAGGGGCTTCAGAGCGGGGGAGACGGGTAGTGTGCCTGCTGAGCTGAGATACTCGCGGCCTCACTCTCACTCACCCTCGTCTTCTGTTCTCCACTCGCACCTCCTCCAGCTTCATCCACTTGAGATTTTAATTCTCCCCGGAAAAAAATTAAATAAAGTTTCCT